TTTTTCTTTGTTTGGTATGTTTTGGGATATTTGATGATGGAATAATTTCTAATAGCAATATGATAATTGGGCTGAGAAATTAGCTCGATGATTGTCAATCCCTTGAAAATAAAAATCGGATTTTAGCTCAGATAGAAATCAGCTCAAAACAAACGAGCTAAACAATGAGCAAATTTTAAAAATCAATATATCAAACCAGAGGAAAATCGGATCATTTGGCCCGCAATCAGAACAAAATTATTTATTTATTTATATGCAATTCGGCGGATGGTGGAATCCCCCGTGAATCGGTAAAAGATATATTTCATAACTATAATGATCTAATCCCTCAATCATAGCCCTACAAGTCCCAATATCGTGTGTCTCAACTCTCATCTCATTATGGTGCCCTAGTTTCAAAATCCCTAGGTCAAGAATCTCACCTACGGCCTTACACCTTCAGAGTCCGGCCTCACACGTCTTCATGTCATTGCTTCTTAGCTTGTTGCGAGTTCTGCCTGTGAAGAGGAGAAGCCTTGCTTAGACGCTCTCTACTTCTCTTTCACTTACTCTGGTGCTCAGTGCTCCCTACATTCACTCTATCGACTTGTGAGTTGGTAACCTAATTAATAACTGGTAAGTTGGTTTCTTCCATATTAACCATAGTCCCCAAAAGTCCTAAGGCATGTTGTTGCTCTCTCTCGCCAAGAGCAACGCTCCCTGACACTTTCCTCCACTGGTCATTCCCCACACCTGGGCTTTGAGCTGGCGCGTGGCCACCTTGTTGTCCTCTTGAATTTTGGCTATACTTCTGCTTGAAGTTGCGGTTTGTTTTTTGTCATTTTATTGAAGCTTTGAAGTGGGAGAGGAAGGATCAAAGGCGCAAACAACAATTATATTACATTCTTTACTTGCTAAATTGTTTAGTTTTTCATAAATAATTTCAGAATGTGTCACATGCAGTTCTTCTCTATATTTCTTATCTACTCGCAATTTTGCTCTTCGGTCTTTGAATAAGTTGTCTTCTTTGCTCTCGAATTTCATTTTAAATTTGGGCCTGTTTATATTGTTTGATTGGCATTAGTGTAGTCTTCTTCTTGGTGAAGACATCAGCGACTTGGAGATGAGTTAGAATATCGATCAAGTGAATTATAACACCATTAACCTTTTAAGAGATAAAATATCTATTAATCTCAATGTTTTGGTCCTGTCAAGATGCATAGGATTTTTAGGGCCCGTTTGGGGCAGCTTATTTGGTGTGGTGAGTTTTGAAAATGCACCCAGGCTCATTTGGGTAAACTATGTTTTGACAGCTTTTTCAAAACCACTTAAATCTGCGTTTTCAAACAGTTCCTGGCTAGGTGCGGTGACAGCTTTCTAATTACGGTCTGACTTTTCCAAAACAAAAATTATAGTTGCCACCGCAGTTTTTTAATAAGCAGATTATTTTTTAGCAGTTTTTTAATAAGTTGTTGTCCCCCCAAACAAACCCTTAGTAATACTAATGACAGCTTGGTTATCACAGAATATCTCTATGTGATTGGCTGGAAAAAATCATTCGGTAACTTTTGGATCCATATTTCTTCACAAATTTCTGAAACAGGTGGCTAACACTAATATTTTGCACTATTTTTAGAAATCACTGCTTGTTTCTTGCTCCTCCATGAGACTTTACTAGATGTGAATCTTCTATCAATGAGTTCTCCTGGCCATCTAGTATTAGTGTAAATATTTACATCCATATTATCTGACTTTTTAAACAAAAACCTTTTGCCATAGGTCTTCTTAGGAAACCCCAATATTTTGTAATTCATCTCTAGATGTTTTTCATTTGAACTAGTCATTTGTTGACTTACAATTCTGACAGAATAAATGATATTAGATATAGTGTGTGACAAGTAGATAAGCTTTCCTGCCAATCTCTGGTATCTGCCTTTTTCCACTAATGTCTTTTATCCCCCGAACGCAACTATTTGTTGAATTTCATAAGAGTCTCGACAGGTTTACAACCCAACATCCCTGTCTCTTTTAATAGGCCTCGGATTTTTTTTTTTTTGATATCACAATTCCTAACTTGGAACTAGCCACTTAAATGCCAATAAAATATCTCATAGCTCCTAGATTCTTAATTTTAAATTTTGCAGCGGGAATCTCCTTAAACTTCTAAATTTTTTGTCATTATCTCATGTCGAAATCATATCATCTATATAGACAATAAGTATAGCTTTCTTATCTTAATGTGTCTGTCTTATGAATAGTGTATGAACAGCTTGACATTGGATGTACCCATCAAATTTCATAATATTGGCAAACTTGTCAAACCAAGTTCATGGAAATTGTTTGAGGCCATAGAGTAGCTTTCTTAGTTTACAAACCAGATGTTTATTCGAGTCATTTCCAACACTGTCAAGATCTCTATATTCGAGCCATTTCCAACACTGTCAAGATCTTTATTCAAAAAGGCGTTCTTGATATCAAGTTGATACAGTTCCCACTCTTTATTCACTGCCTATAAAAGAACTCTTACTGTATTTAGCTTGATCACAGGCGTAAAGGTATCTTGATAATTTATCCCGTAAGATTGAGTGAGAACATTGGCCACCACCTATACATACTTACATTTATACATATATATACATCTAGACACAGATGTGTATATATCTATATCTACACACACACGCACACACACACACATAAAAGGTGTTCATCATAAAGGTGTGATATTGAGAGATCATCCATTGTATGAAAAATAATTAGTTACAAAGGCGTGATATGCCAAAATTTTCGATTGAGAAGCAAAGACTATAATTACCGCCACGAAAATATCACAATTTTATCAAAATCAATTATTCTTGAGTAAACCTTGAAATTAATAGTGCAATAAGAATGAAACTTATACAATTATGTTTATCTTGAACAATACAAGAATCAGATTCCATAATGCATTTTCCAATCAAATGATATTTATGATAATGGTAAGTATGTTGTTGGTGGAGACTGGGTAGTAGAGATAGAGTTGTGTGAAAGTATTTTGAATCAATTAATGCATAATAGATCCCATTAGGTTATTTGTGAGTGTTGTTTAAGCATATAATGGTAATATTTATCTACTAGTTGCAATGAATAACAGTCTATATTTTTTTCATGATTGTAGAAGACAAACTTTTCAAGCAATAAAAACTTGAGAGGAGCTATGTTATCTCTTTAATTAATTTTGGATCCGTTTTTTATGTGATATTTGATAGATGTGTTATTGATCGTGTAAAGCATGGTATGGAGGATATGTAATCATAATAAAGTCAAAAGGAAAATCTGGTCCCTATGTTTTTGTCAGATTATGTTATTAAGAATTTATTGTGAAAGATTTATTATGTTAACTTGTTGATGTACTTTGGAATATTTATGCTTCATCCAACTGTCCTTCTAACTTCTATAGCATATACAAAATGATAAAATAAAAAAAATAAAAAATCTTTTGCATTAGAAACTATGGCTCAACTGTAGATCTTCCTTATAAAAAACATTAAATTTCAACAACTTCTACCAATAGTTTTTCCAACAATGATTTCAACCTGACATTTCAAATAGCAACAATTGTACCTAAAGAAGCTAAGACTGCTAAAATATTTAACTATAGCAACCTAGGGCAAGATCGAAGCCACGATAAACCTTTAACCAATGTATTTTTATAGAGTTCAAGATACTTCATATGATCCATTCCATATGATACCTAAACACAAAAATAAAAGTACATGACAATTTGACATCATGGTAAAATGAATGTATAGGAATTGATCTTTGCTCATTTTTCATATAAAAATGACACCCAAGACAAGATGGTGCTCAAATGCATTGGAGGCTTGATAAACTATACTTTTCTAAACACCAATTGATTTCATAGTCTTTTCACCAATTACTATTCTTGTCAACCATGCCAAAATTTTATTTAAGTTGCCTTTAAGAAAATAGCTCTACCTTAGGTAGGGAATGAGAAGCAGATGCCCCAAACCCCAAGCATGCCTCTTCCGCAAGTTTAAGATATGGAGCAGTTCATCAATCTTTACAAGAATATTTGCAACTAATGAAGCTACACTACATCAAGCAAATGCTCTTGGGCTCTTGAAATGATATATTGGCATGGAACAATATGATTGACTATTTAGAACAGAAGCAAAATATTAAAATTCAGAAAATTTATAATCATAGTTAAGTAAGGCATGAAGAGCATGAGGTATAGAACTATGACCAATGAGAATTAACAAGTGTAGAATTTCATTACGAATGAACTACATAAACAAACAAATTAATAAGATGAAAAGTCATCCCAAAATCCAAAGCTTAATAATCTTAATATCTATAAAAACTTACATATAAAGAGTCTCGTAAAGGCTGAAATGCTTCTAAAGGTAACTCCTCAAAATCACGTTGTACCTACCATGAAAAACAATCCAAAAAAAAAAAAAACTCAGCAAACATCTAAAGGCATGATGAGTTAAAGTGTGAAGAAGCATGCACATTCTCTTCGAAAGTTGAGACCACCTTGCTTCTGAGTGTTTGGGAACAGAAAATGAGCGTCTCTAAATTGCTGCTGGCATCATGGAGTAAATTATCAGAAACCTACATGATATTGCAGTCAAATTCTACAGTGCATAAATACAACTTTAATTTTTAGATATGATACCATACATGGTTTTGCAGATATTAAGAAAATGAAAACAGTTATAAAATAAAGCCAAAATAAAAGTAAAGCACTACAATGAAGTATTGCTTTAAGAAATTAGTAGAGATATCTAAATATTTCATATTAAATGGTAGTTATGAATTGTTCATTTTTAACAAGAAAATTAGTATTAAAAAGCTTTCACCGCAACTATATGCTTTAAAATAATCACCCAAATAATTGAACTGCTATTTGTATGTTATGTTTGAGTTTCTTCTATTATTTTGAAGTCAGTAAGAGTTTGTATGCGCATGATATGATGCAACTAAGCTATGTCGGTTTGTATTGTACTTTATCCCAATGGTGCTGGTCAGGAAGCTCCCTAGATGTTGATTATTGCGGCTATTTCTCCAAATTCAACTTCATCTACAAATCTTAAGTACATCAGCAACAAGTCCTTATCAACTTCTTTTCAATTTTTGGTGGCACTAACTGCAACAATTCCTTTGTTCCATTTTCATATGGCTTTACCATTTTTTTTTCCTAAAACATCTGCAGTTGATTCTTCGATTTGTCTTCTATTTCTGTTATGAAATTTCTAGCTTACAATGTTCTTAACAAATCATTTTCTTAACCAGTGAATAATCGGCAAAATTTAAGCTATCGCAAAGAGAAAACTGTTTATTTGCTTTGTAATAATAAATAAAATTTATGGGGTTAGTATAAAACTCAATATTATCAGTGTTTGGATATGATATGATTTACAGTAGGATATATAATTCCTTCTACTTTAGGAATCTAAATCATTAGTCAAGTAGGAGAGCTAAAGGTTTTCATAAGTTATGCCCTTATACAAGCATGATGCTTTCTTCCAAGCACAAAATTTATGGGGCTAGTATAAAACTCAATATTATCAGTGTTTGGATATGATATGATTTACAGTAGGATATATAATTCCTTCTACTTTAGGAATCTAAATCATTAGTCAAGTAGGAGAGCTAAAGGTTTTCATAAGTTATGCCCTTATACAAGCATGATGCTTTCTTCCTTGCTTCCTTATGTATTTCTCCTATTGGTTTAGATTCTGATCGCATTTGGTCAAATTTGATACAATCTAAATTTCTTTTAATTGTAAAAGATTTCGAACATATGAATGATCGTTAATTTTCAATCATTAATTATATTAGAATATCGTTAATCTATCATCAGAATTGGAATTCAATGTTTTCAATTTCCATTGAATGAAGGGATTGTGTAAGATTACTAACTCATGCACGATAAAAATTGCATTGTAACTGTGTTATTTAGCTACATCAAATGCCAAATTGCATTCTCAATTAACATTAGAAACATTAGACCCTAAGACATCCTACAACACTATAATTCGAATGACCAAGTGTACTTAACCAATACATAAACCAATTTTAGTGCAAGAAACATATTTACATATTTTTTTATGGATAACATGTGTAGCAAACTACAATAAATAGGTCTGGAGTTTCATTAATTTTTTGGATCCACAAAACATCCGAAATAAATAACATTGCTTCAAAGCGGGCAAGTTAAAAAATGTGATATCCATAAAATTAATCAAAAGGTTCACATGTCAAACTTTTAAAATAATTGGCACAAAATCAACTTTTTAAGAGCAATTAGCACAAACAAACAATAGAAAGAGTGAAGAGTGTAAATTTAGTAAATTTATTATCATTTGCTAAATAGTATGCAACTTTTAGTTTTGAATGAAGCTCTGTTTAGCATAAATTTCTAAAAAGTCCCAATGATATTCAAACCTATAAAATAATAAATTGAACTTTAATCTTTAAATATGTTACCAAGGCACATGCAATAGAGCCACAGCAAACAAGCGATAATTGGCTTCAAGCAATTAGCTGATTCCTAACCATAACCAACAATACCACAAGGGCACAACACACCAATATCGATAGACCCTGAACCTCAACATTTTCCGATCATCACATCATTTGGCATGAATACAAAGCAAATGTTATAAACAATGAATACCAAGAAAAATTCATTTAGAGTGTCAAACGCATAGTACTTTCTATTTCCTTCTCAATAAAGAACATAGACCTACATAGCGTGCAGTGCAACATCCTTAAACCACAAAAGGCAAAACGCTTGATAATAATTTAAGAAAAGAAACAACCAATGGACGTTAAGACGATCTAATTTTATGTACAAAAACTTTCTTAAGCACGCCACTCACTCACCCCCTCTAAATCCCTTAATGAGTATAGTTGAAGCGCGAGCTTCCCCGGATCGCGGCATTGTAGTTTCTACAGTGCTGCGAATGCATTACTGTAGTAGCTACAGTAACCGCGGTCCAACCCTTCCCCCCCTTTTCTGTCATTTTCCCGCCTAATATTTCTTTTCTTTTCTATGGAATCCCCTATTATAAATCCTTGCATGTTATTACTTCCTATTTACTCTATTTTCTAATTGAAAGCATTGCCTAATATAAGTTCTAATCACCCTTATATATATAGGAGCTATTTTTGCTTAGGAAATGCCTTTTTTTATGATTGTTTATTTTAGTTACTGCTCTTGAGGCGTTCTTCCCCTCCGAGGTTTGTACCCAGCGGCAAGAAGGTGCTCCAGCTGTAACTCGTTCAAGGTGGTGACTATCTCCAAGGGTTCAATTGGTGCTCCAGTTGTAGCTCGACCCCCAAGAGACATTTTATCTTTCCACAACCCTCCGACCCTCTTCCTACTGTAGGCCGCCCCATCCTACCACCTGCCAGCTTGATGCCCGCACTGTCGAACTCCCTCCAAACCTTCCAAAACCTGTCATAAGCCCTCCCAACCCATCCAGACCTGACTGCAACTCTCCCATATGCAACCCTTCCAAGACTTCCCTCGTCTTGCTGTAGCCGTCTCCAGCTCTTCCCAATGCTGCAGCATCCTGTCCCAAGCAACCCAGCAAGCCCAGCAGCTGTCGCAACCACTCCATCAGTTACCTGTTGTCGTAACTCTTATTGGAGTCTATGTTGTGTTTATGTTTGTGTTGTTGTTATTTTACATTTTTAAGTGTCGTGTCTATAATCATTTCAATTTCAGCAACAATATTTATTTTTCGTTGTGGTTTGAGTTTCCTCTGGTATCAATGATTGCATAAAACATATTCTTTCTAGCAATAAAATCATATTTCCCCCGTTCTTTGGGTTGTTTGGTAGCAATTTGTATCCAAGATGTATCCAAACTTTAACAGGAATCTTGCCAAACATTTGCCATCCCTTAAATTTTACCATTCCATGAAATACAATTTTCAACCAATTTTTGCTATAATGTGGATTTGCTAAATCCTATTGAACCATGAATTTACCATATTTTAGCTTTATGTGGACATTTCTAAAGCACGAACCTCTTCTACCTCGAGACACTACCTTGGCCACATGTCTGTGCGAGCCCTTACCATTCTCAAGTACTCCCAAATCTAGTACTTTTCTCCTTTAATATCCAAATTTCTGACTTTAACGCTCTCCAATATGTTCATTTCTGTCTTATAATCGGCACCTCCTTCTTTATAATACTTACTCAGTTTCCTAGTATGCATTTGATCATGTACGACCCAAAAACTTCTTGAATCATCCTATCCCTAATATCAGCACCACATCATACTAGATAGGAGAATTACAATAAAAAACTTCATTTGAAATACTAACTATTATTATTATACATATATATTGTCTTTTTAATGATTTTTCTCGCGAGTTGAGGCTGCACAACAAAATCTGTGAATCCTGCTAAGTTCCCAACTAAATCTTATATTTAGTTAAATCCTAAGAAATAGCAATCAAATAGTTTACTGGAATTTAGCCAATTTCAAAAGCTATTAAGCCAAAGAGTTTTCAGGATTCAAACACCGAAAAATATACCAAACTCAGCCTTCCAAGATTTGCTAAATTACACTAGAGTTAAATCATGCTTGTGGCCAAACAGCTACTCCTCTCCCGCTCAGCTCCTCGCATCAATCGATCCTCCCGATCCCCCATCCCATATCTTACAAACGGTTCCAGATAAAAGATTTAATAATACCGACAAACACAAACACTTGCCAAAAATAAACAATGCCTTTAACCTCCCAAAATCGAACACAGGTAGCCAAAAATTTCAAGGAAAATACACTGAAAACACCGATTCGAAGAAAATCTAAGAGCTAGAAAATGTGGATAAGAACCATGACTGCAGGAAGAAGAGGAGAAACCGATCACTCACCTGCCAGGCATCAATGGTGTGCTGAAAATCTTGAAGCCATCGATCGGCCTGGGCCCGGACGGCGTCGTCTGGATGGTGGTAGAGTACATTCAGCGCCTCCTTCACGGTGTTCTGAAGCTCCATGGCCTACTGAGACGACCGACGAAGGCTTGCAATAGGTTTTTCGCGAGTCGGACGATTTCTCTACAAAATTTACATAGATGCCGCACAATTTCTATCTATTTACTATTTGAATATCTATTAACTCAATTTTAATATTTACATTTATAATAGATAATTAGATATGCATATATATAATAATGTATATAAACATAAAAATTTAAATATGAATTATGTGATATGCCGTCCCATTTCTCTTTATAACATGCAACTGATTACTCAATTTTGAGAAATTTGTGTTTGTTAATGAGTAGAACATGAACAAATATTTCGAACTTAATTTTTAGACAGCCTAAACCCTAAATAAGAACACATTTATTTGATCCTATTGGGGTCAGTATGGCTCCATAAAGAAAAAAATAAGTAGATGAATAAATAGAGATATAAAAAAAATTGGTTAAGATCATTTAGACAATGAATATTATATTATTTTAATTGAAGTAAAATTCATAGGTATTTGAAATTATAGCCCATATGTTGTATATTTTGAAAGTTTGTGAGTTTTTGTAATTTTAATTATTTGATAGGACCAGTAAAGCCATCGTCTAAATTTAGTTAAATTAAAATGTTATTTTTTAAGCTCATGTTTAGTCTAATGAGCTAGACATGAGTGCATAGTTCGTGAACAATTGCAAGTATCTAAACACGAACAAGCTCCCAACTTGGTCAAGCCCAGTTTGTTTAGTACCCTATTTTCAGCATACGAGCATTTACATACATACCGCCCAATTTATATGTGTTTATTTATCCAATGCCTAAATTTTGATTTAAAATTTATAATATTCAAATCTTTTATGCCACTTTAAACCCTAAATGCATCATTGTTTGCATAGATAAAGTATTACAAATATAATAAAAAAAATTTAAGTATGAGATACAAAATTACATACAATTTTGTGATACATATGAGCAGTTTTAATAATTTGCATGCGGATGAAAGGTTATACGGACGAAACAAAATAGTTCAAAAGTAAAAACTCAAAATTATAGATGATAAAATAAATGTACAAAACAGAGTGAAAGAATAAAAGTAATTGGCTTAAAAATGAAATAAAAAATCCAAAAGAGTAATAGATTGAAAACCCGAAAAAATTATTAAAAGCAACTAATTTTAAATGGTTTTAACGGATAAAACGATGCTTAAGTTGGTCAATGAACTAATATGTTTAAGTTCAAACATAGTCAATCAAGATTTTTAAGAAAAATATGAAATAGATATACAGCCCATCAACCACTTTGAAGAGGTTAAACAAATAATGATTTCAAAATGACCCTTTAAGTTTAATATAATGAAGTAGATTTATTAAATACGATTAATGATAAGCTCTGTGTAACTCATGCAATTTAATCTTTTTAAAAAAATTTAAAATACAACATACGGGATTTGATGGAGATTAAAATATTATAACTCATAGTATACCTAAATAAATAATAGTTCCATTACATATATGTTATAGCATGTATGATTGAATATCATCAAAATAATGTACACATTATATTATATGTGATTATAAAAAATATCAACTAATATTGGTGACCATAGATATATGGATAGATCAACAATAAATTAGCTAACGTTGGTGTAATGACATTTGTATTCAAGTTGCCCTTTGGTATATAATGCACAAAAATAGTATATATAGTTGGTGCATTAAATGTTAGTATATCAAATGCATAGTGATTTTATCTTCTTTTTATATAGTATATGCTTGAGATCTAAACCAATCCTATCAAGAGCTAATAGTTCTTTCTCAATAATGGGCTTGATATGGTAAAACCTAATGATTTTGCCAATGAACAAAAATATGTCGCTTTAATCATAGAGAATAATATTCATGCCAAATAATCGTGGCATCTTTAAGTGAATATATATTATGTCTGTGGAGAGGACATCAATAATATGTCATTATCATAACTACCTGCTTTGATGGGAACTAAGCATCTAGAAGTTTTCGATATAGAGATCTGGTTTGCTGAAGTAAGATTTTGCAAACTAGTTCTAAAGATTTCCTAGTTAAATATGACATTCATTGCACCTCCACTATATATTATTAATATATACTTATTATTATTACTATTATTATTACTATTTTTTTATTATTACTATTATTATTATTATTATTATTATTATTATTATTATTATTATTATTATTATTATTGTATATATATTCTTTTTTTAATTATTGAAACCAACCCCCAAGTAAACCCTAGGAGATAAGAGAAGTTTACTTAACTTATCATTAAAAAAAGGGATTTTTGTCTCTAACATTCTCTAATCTTATATTTCTCGATAATCTTAACAATAAGTAGAATATGTGCCTTATAATTATTTTGTATGTGAGCCTTTTAGTGGCACTCAAAGTGTGCAATATCTTTGATAGTCTCTCAACTTAAAATTGCAAATTTGTAAGGGTAAAAAAGTTGGATGAAATAGGCATTATTTATATTGGTTTATCAAATTGGCGTAAAGCTTGTTGTCATGAGAATGTGACATTAAACCTAAATTTTTTATTTATATTTTATTTTTATTATTAATGCATATACTCTTGTGTTTCGGGGCCATAAATCTCATCCTTATTACTAATATCATTTTAGGTTGAAAATAAACTTACTGGCTATTGTTCAATCATTATAAGTGCAGTTGATCATAAACATTGGGTTCTCATACATGTTAAAATAATCAATCAAATCTAACACCCTTTTACTCAAGGTCATAAGCTCACTATAGATTTCTTTATAATTATGCTTTGGACAATATTTTGTGCTCAACATTTCTTTCATGTTAAGTCAGATTAAGTGAGTCTTACCTAATATTTTCTTCTTTGCGTGCATTATTTTAATGTATCTTGGTGTGTCTTACAAGTTTTATTTCAACAAAAGCAGCTGGCCTTTAATAATCATAAAACTATGCCAATAAAAAAATTATCCAGTTGGGTAAATCAGTTAATGAATGTATTGAGATGATGAATCTAATCTGATATTGGTGTTTTAACTTAATGATTTTTATTAAGATCATTGATTTCAATATTACTAACTTTATTTTTATAGATTAGATGCTCTTAACATCTTGTAATTTATAAGGTCATGATGTGAGTTTGTTTCAAAATTCTGGTTTGAAATATTAACAAGTTGCAGATGATTAAGTGATTTGACTAGAATCTAAGTGAAAATTGTTGGATTTTGGCCAATATAACTTGCATTTGAATGGATAGGGCTTGGATTTAAATATTTGTCTCTCTTAGGGCAATATGTATATCTAAACCAAAGGGTATGAAATGTAGTGGAAATGCCTTTTAAGAACATACTTAAACCTTCAACTTATTTTATACTCGATAAGTTTGGTGGCATGGATGTTGAATAACAAATGAGTTGACGTTTTTTGGTTTATTTGAAATTTTATGTTTAAATATGATAAACTGGATGCTATGCAATTGTAAAAAAATTATCTTCACCAATTAAAATATGCCACTTCATGTTCATAAATTAACAGCATAAATGCACATTTGTGTGATAATACAATCTCCAAATAAGTATACTCTAGTAATGATTATTTATACAATAATAGAATTCAGTTATGCATATTTCATAGCGATTGACACCCTTTCAAGATTGTAATACTCAAAAAAAAAATTTGAAAGGGTAGATTTATGGCAAAATGATTTGACCTTACAATATAGGTGACTAATTAGGCCATATAATTCACATTATAAAATTTTCAATTATCACACAACTTCAAATATATTAAAATAATATAAAATGAATCAAAGCAAGGAAACCAAATCCTTAAAATGTAGATATTATCCATTAGAAGAGGCAATTCCTTGCTTGATGTAATGTCCACTTGAAAACGTGCAACCATTATCTCTAATTTTTTAAAATAAATATTTTACACCAATACTATATTGATGATGCCTTAGATTTAAATTTTCCAAGGGGCATGTTTGTTGTATGAAGTTTCCGTTAAATTTTAAAAACATTAGGGATGAATTTAGTAACATGAACAAGTAGTCATGATGTTGTGTAGTGTGGCATATTAGGATAAGCTTATTAAACCCAAGAATAATATGATTGAATTTGAAAGTTAGAGTTTACTAATATGAAATCTTTTGACAATGAGAACACTTAAATATTCTTAGGATGCATGTATAGAACTAATCTAAAGTTATTGAGAATTAATTAAATAGTTTAGAGTTGATAAGATGAAGTTGAACAAAAACAAAATAATGCATATCATAGTTTCACTAATTGATGTTCTAGATTACTTCTTTGATTGTTATTATGAAAGTATATTGAATTATCATTAATAATGAAAAAGAAGTGTGTGAGGTTGTTGAATGAAAATTAATGCAAGATTTTTATGAGCATAAAGTAAGCTATCACCCAAGTGTTGGTGTCATTTTTGGTGCAATATATACATGAAATTAGCTCGATCACCCCCAAACACTTAATTGTGATATCAGGCTAGAAATTATGTACTATAGTGTGATTATCCAACTCATCATACACTATCTATCAGTCTAATACATGATTATCTTTTGTTGAATTACCATTATTCTTATAAATGGTTATATGTGCATTGAACAAGAAGTTTGAATCACGAAAATTTTATGACAAATTTTTTCAGGTGTGCTTTTCATACGTTAAGATTTTACAATGTAAATATTTTGATTAAGATCTTATTTCATGAAAGAGATTATGCCATTCATATGAATCATAAAAAAAATCCAATTAAGTTTATTCATGTTTGATTTTGTTCTTTCTACTAATTTCAACTTTACTTTTAAAATGTAGGAAGAAAAATTTGTGTAAGCCGCTATATTGTCTTGAAATATAAGAAGGCAAGAAACTTCTCACTTTTTCATGATTTAAAACAAAAAATTATCAATGTAATTTATTTAATGATTTAGTTGATAAAGTCCATTCACATATTGTTATTCATGCAATGAGCAGTTTCTATCTTTTCAATCACTTCACATTACAAAGAAGCCCTGTCATTTCCTCTTTCATTTTTTTCATGAAAAATGCAATTGCTTCTTCAAGGACAAGATTTG